CGATTTTACCATGTTACAGAAACCTACCGTTTTTTTCTCTACGTACAACTTATATATTAATCAATATCCATTTTTTATCTTAAGAGTTACTCTAAAGTAAGTGTATGCAACATCAACATGCCAATGACATAAATCACATATGAATTGCCATCTACGAAACGATCAACAATCATTGAAATAATGGGCTATTCTGATTTTGCTCGTTTGGTTGTTAATAAATGGTCACTAACATCAAGACGAATAAAAAATTAAATATCTAATATCATTATTTTTTGACAATATTTAAATTCGTTTTCCATCATATTGTGAGACTAATCAAAACGAGATAGGAAATAAATAGTTTTAATCTGAATATTTTCTAATTTCATTACTGAATAATTGTTGTAATTAAACATATACAGGGTTGTTCGCCACATACGACACGGAGTATTGTAGCCGAGATTGTAGCTAAATAATTAGATTTTTACAAATTGTAAGTTTTGGGTTCGTTGAAGGACTATTAGAGCTACAATTTAAAAATATTTTTACAAGATACAGAGTGTCCCAAATATATAAAAAATATCAAAGTTGTATTTTTTTAAATGGAACACCCTGTATATTATTACATTTTTAGTCTCTACGATTAAAATAAAGCTAAATTTGATTAAGGTTTACTACACTTAAACCTTACAAAAAACTTTTTGAAATATTTTCAATTTTGTGAAATTGCTGTAAAAAATTTAAGGCTTCATTTCTCCAAGGGTACCAAAGTTTTTATTACTAAAAATTTACTGAAGTTTATTTATTGATCAGTTATTGTGTTGCAATAATAAAAATAATACTACCTCATACAGAGTGTCTAAAAATTTATTTTAAATTATTTATAGCTTTAAACGGCAATAACTTGTTTAATTTAAATATAACGCCCTGTATATTTTAGGAGAATCAGATGCACAATTTAATTGTCTATCAAATTGTATTATACCACTTTTACCCATCCCTTCAAGTTTTCGTAGAAAATGCATTTTCTTATAATTTAGACCTCATTTATCAATATACCCATGGAATATTGACATTTTAGATTGTTTTTAATGCAACAAATGTACAAAATGTACAAGCTAGTAATATTATCGTTTTTGGCAAAATGATAATATTACTAGCCCATTTGTATGCAAAAAGAAAACTATTTAAATCTTTATAAAAGAGTATACCATTAATTAAATATACAACCATTAGCCATTAGGATCATTAGCCATATACAACTCCCGCAATTCCGTTTCTCCGTTATTGTTAACAATAATGCAATTACAGGGATCTATGTCATTACAGGGATCTATCTCTTAACCACCATTATTTCCGCCCAAATACTAATTAATTAAATACTTAATTATGTTCGTTAATAAATTATTCTAAATAAATGTGGATTTGAATCAGAAGTCAATATAATAATCAGTTGAAATGAAAAAGAATGTCTCTGTTATAAATAAGCATTTGTCAAAAAATTACATATCATTTTTAAGGTGTTACTTTTTACCTCGCTTTTTACTACACTGTCTAATACACATACAAAATTCAGTTTTTTAGTATTTAGAGCAATTATTATTAATCAACGCAAACAGTCAATTAATATAGTTTGAATACTGGAATCATATTAATTGGTCCTCTTTAACAAATATTTATAAATTGTTTTTATTTTTTAATGAAATAAACAAACTATATCGCCAATATTAGTATCTGTACTCTTTAAAAATTTGGTACACCTTTAAAAATAATCTAAAATGTCAGTATTCCATGGGTATAGTGAGAAATGAGTTTTAAATTACAAGAAAATGCATTTTCTGCGGAAACTTGAAGAGATATGTAAAAATGATATAACACAATTTGATAGACAATTAAATTGTGCATCTGATTCTCATAAAATACACAGGGTGTTCCATTTAAATTAAACAAGTTATTGCCGTTTAAAGCTAGTAATTATTTAAAATAAAATTTTAGAGACTCTATATAAGGTAGTATAACTTTTATTATTGCAACACAATAACTGATCAATAAATAAACTTCAGTAAATATTTAGTATTAAAAACTTTGATACCCTGGGAGAAATGAAGCCTTAAAATTTTGACTCCAATTTCACAAAATTGAAAATATTTCAAAAACGGTAATGGTTAAGTGTAATAAACCTTTACCAAATTTACCTTTATTTTAATAGTAGAAACTTAAAATGTAATAATATACAGTGTGTTCCATTTAAAAAAATACAACTTTGATATTTTTTATTTATTTGGGACACTCTGTATCTTGTAAAAATATTTTTAAATTGTAGCTCTAATAGTCCTTCAAAGAACCCAAAACTTACAATTTGTAAAAATCTGGTGAACAACCCTGTTAGGTTATGTTTGTTATAAATTCAATTATTAAATGATAAAAAAGCACATATTAAGGTATAAAAGCAGTTTTATTATAAAAAATAAAAGAAGGTATACAGGGTGTCCCAGGCTAAGCGTGCATTATTGTTAATTAAAATTCCGTTACAGTACGCAGATAGATTGAAGTTTTTTGATTACAGTGATATATAATTTATATGGTTTTGTAACAAATCGCTCGCTATTTTATGGTAAATGCTGAAGCTCTGCAAACCTTAATCAAGCCTTAATCAAAGCACGTGTGTTTGGAATTTTGGGTGTGGCTTAACACGACAGGATCGGGCTAAGCCTTAGGCAGATTTCTCAAATATAATATATATTTCTTTCGACCACACACCGGCTTTACCCGACCGCTGAGAGTTACCCGAACAGTACAACGTAATTGACACTTAGTACAACGTAATAGACACAATTTTGCCTACATTACATATTATATGACATTCGAACTATTTAATTTTTGATTTGGGTTTTCTGAAATAGATAACCGATGTCTTCTTTTTATGTAACATTGGCTGTGGTAATCACTAAATTTGACGTTTAGGTTATACAAATATTTTTGACAGTTCTATATCAAAATTCATAAAATTTTACAGATGATCCATAAAAATCAGATAGTCGCTAGTCGATAAAAACCTTGATCTAGTTATTGTAGTTCTCTAAAAACTTCTAAGGCACGATCATGCTGGGACTGGGGACATCCTGTATATAGAAGATAATATGCAATAAAATATGTTTAAAATTAGTAGGAAGAGGTTTTCCATATTTTTATAAATTTAAAAGGCAAAATGTACCTTTATAGGAGTTTATCATATTCTCCTATCTTCGTTTGTTACTTTTTAGTTAGCAGTGTTTCGAAATCGTCCAATCATAGGTTTTTGATATTTAATAAAGACTTAAACGGTGCTCAAAATTGCGATTCTGTGTTGATTAAAATTTACTTCACCGATTACGTTTAATTTCTAACCTTGTTTTGAATGCCGAGATGAAAATATTCCGTAATTATGTATTTATTTTCCAAAATTATAGTTGTATTGAAAATAGTAACTTATTACACTGAAAAATATATCGACTTCGCAAAAATTACAGGCAAAGCTTTATTTTACTAATTTTATAGGAGTAGTTACGGCTGGTTGTTTCCCTGTATGTATATTTTTACTAGGCATATATCATAGGATTGAACAACTTATTGCCCTGCAGAGTTTATACATTTCGTGGGAATCAGTTAGACCTGCTATAATTAGGGAATGCAATCCCGCAAATGCTGGATCCCTCTGTGATTCCGCGGGATCAAATTTGCGGGATTTACCGTACTGCGGGATCGACACCAGGGAATTCCCCTTACGGCTTGGCCATTAAAAATAAGTGAAACAAACAGATTAGTTATTAGATTACTTTCTGGCGTGCGTAAGTGAAGAAAAGCGTTTAACTAGTACTTGTGGACAATTTCGTCAAACAAACTGCCGGACATAATTATCGGAACAATCAAAATTTTAGGGTAAATTTAAAGTTCAATATCTCTTGAACTAAAAAAGATTTTGGGATACGGTTTGGACCAGGTTTTAGATGCATCTATTGTAATTAAGATACTAGGGTGTTTTATACTAGTGTGAACATTTGGTCAAGAATTTTTTTTACCGGATATTTACAGTTTTTAAAAAATCGAAATTTTGAGCCAACCAAGTACGACTAATCTGTATTGAAATTAGAAAAAACAATTTGATCGGTTTTTATTTTTTTTTGTTTTAAGGTAAATACGAAGTTTTTTCGAAAAATATGCATTTTTAGTCATACGATGGTCCTAAATGGTACAAAAAGCTTTGTACATTCTGCATATGCCAAAAAATTATTGATAGAGAGTGTATCTAAAAGCAGATAACCAACACAAATTGAAAAAAAAACCTTCAACATCAGAATAATATTTTTATTTATAAAATAAGTAGATAAATTATAATAAAATTTAAGTTTATTTAGTATTAAATATATATTTGAACACTCTGTATACATCGGTCCAAACTTCTGTTCAGCTATATAGTTTAAGTGTTTAAGAGTCATATATATATATAGTGTAAGTTTATTTAATATTAAATATATTTTTTGAACACCCTGTATACATCGGTCCAAATTTTTGTACAGCTCGTTTAAGATACACGCTATATCAGTATATTGTGGGCCTATGCAAAATGTACAATGCCTTTTGTACCATTTAGGACCAAATGTATGACAATAAATGCATATTTTTCGAAAAAACTCGTATTTTCCTTAAAACAAAAAATTAAAAAAAAAACACCAAATTGTTTTTCTTTTCAATACAGATTAGTCGTACATAGTTAAAATCTCGATTTTTCAAAAATTGTAAATTTTCGGTAGAAAAAATTCTTAACCAAATTTGTACATTATTATAAAACACTCTGTATACGAGAATTCGGTAAATATATTTTCGAAAACCACATAGCATCTTAATCACAATAGATGCGTCTAAAACCTGGTCCAAACCGCATCCCAAAATCGGAGAGAGAAAAGAAGAGCATTTATTGTTTATTGTTTTTGCAATTTTGCGGATCCGCGGGATTGATTGCTTTAATTCCGCGGGTTTGCGGGATTGAGATTTTGGTGCGGGATTGCATTCCCTAACTATAATATGGTAAAACTCTAAAATTAAAAAATTGGTGCTTATCATACTTTTCCCCTTGACCCTTCAAATGGAAAAGAGCCTTGTCAGTGGCATTTTGCTCGTAAATAAATTTGCCTAAACCCAAAAAAGTGCTTAAAAGTTTCTAAGGCTATTTCTCCTCCCGTCGTCAGGTAAAAGATACAAAAAGAATAAAGAAAAACTTTTTAAAATATCTAAACCTATCTACTACTGGAACAGTTTAGTTTTTTAATACAAACACAATGAGGTAAAACTAAAATTCGTAAAATGTCTGTATAAAGAATTTTTTTTTTTCTGAGATTTTTAATATTTTTTGTTGTTTCACAAAATTAATAAATTACTATATCATACATTTAGGCATTATAAATAATTTTTCTTTATTTTTTTGTTTAGCTTTTTGCTTCTGAAAACGAAGAAAGATGTTCTATTTCTTTTGCTAAAATTAAACTTAGTATTGAAATTTCAGTGGCAAAATACACAGATTTTTTTTAAGAAATGAAACCGCCACAAAGCTATAAACATAATTTAAAACAAACCAAATTACGATATAACAGATATCAATTAGTTCTGATGATACAGCATACACTTACTCTAGTTTATTATTAGGAACAATTGTTTTTCATTTTACTTCAATAATTTACTTAAGTTTCTAATCTGTGCATCATTCAACCATACTTAACCAATAACCGTTTAAAGTCACTCCAGACGAGGAATTTTGTGGAGATTTATAAATTTATAGATATGACAAGAGTCAATTAATTATTGTGTTCATTTTCACGAAAATCATTGGATGTTTGACTGTATTCTAGTAAATTTTGTTCAAATTTACATAATATTAAAGAAATAAGTGAAATTGAATTCAAATTCTCAACGAAAAAAAAAACGGAGTTCTTTTAGGAAGAATTCTATCTACGAGATATTCTAGTTTTTTGTAGAAACTTGTATTAAATTTCAACGACTTATAAGAAGAAAATTGATGCAATTTTGACTTTCATATCAATTTACACAACCGAAAAACTGGGACTTACAAACCGACACCACAAAATACCTAGTCGGGATTAATCTTTAAGACACGACACTACCCGGCAACACCGCCAGCTCAGGAACAGTCTAGACTGGACGGGCTTCCAGCGCCACCCGGTAGCAGGAACGGAGGACTGTGAGGCTGCATGCCGATGGAAGCGGGCCCTCCGGGACCTCCGTACATCTCCATGTCGCTGATGCTTTCCGAACCCGAGCATTTCTCGCCGGATTTGCCCTCCTGCTTTAGCATCATCCGTCGCCATTTTGCTCTGGCGTTTTGGAACCAAACCTGAAACAAAGAAAAATATTTAGGACCTTGTTAATAGACATTATTTTTTGCCTATTTAGTCTAGTCAAATTATAGGTACGCGGGGAAGGGAATTTCTTCTATTTATTATGTATTTTGGAGTGCTGAATTCGAATCTGAGGTTTGGTAACAAAATTTTTTGACCTGTAGAACCTGTAGAAGATTGGACCTGTTCCTCGAACATCCTAAAGCAGCATAATAGGGTAACTGTGACAAAATTTAGGCTATTAGAGATGTAAGCCATATTTACAGGCTATAGGCTTCCTGTAAATTACCGACGATTTTAAAAATGCGAAATATCAGACTGCGACTTCTGAAGACACTTTGGACTATATTAAAATTGATATTATACCTTGTATGCCAAAGCAAAAACAATTTTTCAAATTAAGAGTTAGTACCCGTATAACCAAACAGTATAGAACCTCTATCGAGCCTATATTAAAATCTTTAGTCGATAAAGGCAGTCTTTATTCTTTTGGTACAACGACGATACGTGTTTGAATACAGTCTAGCCTGTACTGAATAAAGTTGGCCTGTATTGGTACTTTACCGCCACTATACATTCTGGATTTAGACTAAATAAAGTTAATTTGTCGATTCGTTATCGTACCGATATACATACTGACGGCGCGGCGTCCTTTACAAAATATATGTATTAAAATCTATAGAAAGTTTTTCTTGTTACCTGAATTAGAAAAGTTATGTTTAAGTAAATTCTTAAACATATCCTTTGTAGTATTAATATTCCAAATATTAATATAAATATTCTAAAGGCATAAAATACTACAAACGATATGTTTAAGTATTTACTTAAACATAACTTTTCTAATTCAGGTAACACTAAGAAAAAAATTTAGATATATTTTAATACATATTTTGTAAAGGACGCCTATCAAACCTATAGGTTAGATGAAAATTTGATTACTCTTTTATTATATTTTTACTTACAAATTCGTGTACACTACTGTTTTTATCAATTTTAAAACCTTCATCAAGTCTTGTAACTTCATCAAGGGTGTTCATGGGAAAATTTCATCTTGTTACTTGTTACCAATGTGACCATGTAACCATCAGTACCGTTATTATAATTACCCCGCGGAAGTTTCTTCTATTGATTAGATATATTAGGTATGACCTGCCCTTCAATAACTCAACTTGTGGAAAATACACAGATTTCAAATTTTAGATTTTTCTTCCGTTATGTTAGAGTATAATGTTGAAGAAACACGGAGAAGCACATTTGTATCTGGCATATTAAAATGATTCTAACCCCAGAAATGATACACCAGCGGAATATCATTATAGATATATAAAATACATGAAGTTGTAAAGGATCAGCGTATATTTACTATGTATAACTATACAAATTTGTATAGAGTTAATAAAGGATAAGTAAAGTTTTCGTAGCAGTGAATATTGTCTTCGAAAAACTGTATAGAATCTGTATTTATGCGTTATCGATACTATATAGATTCTTTATTTGCGTTATAAATATCATTCGTCTATTCTCTATAGGAGAACATATACAGGCAGTGCTTTATGGTTGCTATAAAGATTAAATACAGACATGTCTGTAAAGGAAATATTTGATTTTTCTTTAAATATGCTTTATATATGAAGTCTTTATCGAAACATCTTTATAGCAAAGAAACTAATCTATATAGGCTTGATTTTACTATATCGCGTGGTTATACGGGTAATATTTATTTACTAATATGATTTTACTCTTTTTTGTTTATTCTATTTTATAAAGATGTTTAATACGTTGTATTCACTAATAATACTTATGTTATTATTATTGAGTTTTTTGGAATGTTTGCAATTTCTAAATAAAATTTTGTAAAAAACAATGGTTTTTGTGTGAAATGACACATCTATAAATATGACGAAAATTGGGACAAGCTAGTGACGATATAGGTAGAGAGCTGACGATATTTGGAGATACTGCAGTTCTTTTTTAGTTTTTCTTGAAAATAATCGAAAACGTCAGTCAAATTATTAAAGTTTTATTCAAATTTGGAATTAAAATGTCTCCTAGTGTCATCTTTAATTTTCTTGTAAGCCACTAATAATTCGGATTTTATGGATCACTGAACTAAGATATTCCCTTAATGTGACGATAATTGGGGACATTTACTAAGTTCATTACAACCTTCTAAATAAAAAAGACGTTTTTCCTTTAGATATAACCTAAAAAAACTTCTTCGAGATCCTTCGCAAGAAAAAGAAAACACTCCTTACTTCCATCCCAGCCTCTCGAATAACTCACATCGCCCTCATAAAAAGCGGGTTTCAAATCGCTTTTTCCCCACTCCACCTTCTGTATCCACCCCATTTTATTCCCTTTCCTGTTCCCCTTTTTCGAGGGGGAGCGATTTTCATCCTCAGTCGGCAGACGACCGGCTCCAATTACTCGGGCCAACGGCAGCTCTCCCCCTGTCAACTCCCCTCGCTCCCATCTCTTCCCCTAATCCCCGGGGGTTCTGGAACGGGAGCTCCTTTTGATGACGACGAAAACTACTGCGAGAAATGGGGAGTAGCGAAGTCGGACGCCATTTTTCTTTTCTTTTTTCGGCTTTGGGGGATGAAAAAGAGTGGGAGGGGGGGGGGTAAACGTCTGGAAGGGAGAGGAATTGAGGTGAAGGGAGGGTTTAGAGAAAAAAAATGTCTGGAGGGAATGACGAGAATATTCTTGTATTTCGTTTTGATTTGAGAGTAAAATAATATGTGTTCAATGTTATGATTAATGCTCTTGGTTGGTGTGAGAAAAACAGTAAACTAAAATTGATCAATTTTAACTTTTAGTCTTTTTTAGGGATTATTTTTTTTAGATTTAATTTATCTATAGACTTTTATTCAAATTTAACATTTCTAATTTTACTTTTAACTATTGTATCGATCGGCACAAAAAAGTCACTCTATTCCAAACTCAATGGGCGGATCAGCTGAAATAGAAGCCTTCGAACTGTGGTGTTACAGGAGAATTTTAAAGATATCATGAGTGGACAAAATTAGTAACATCAGAGTGTTGGAGATGCTGAATACGAGTATCGTGATTATATAAAGCATAAAGACCAGACAAATAGAATACTTTGGACATCTTATGAGACAGGAAAAATACCAGCTATTGCAGAACATCATGCAAGGCAAAATAGAAGGGAGATGCTCAGCTCGAAGAAGAAGGACCCCTGGTTGAAGAACTTGCGGGAGTGGTACGGAGTCAATACCAACACTCTGTTTAGAATAGCCGTGAATAAAATACAAGTCATTGATGGTAGCCAACGTTCTGCGAGGACAGGGCACTTAAAGAATGGTGCAATCCATTCTTAGGAGTAGCAAACGTTTAACCAAAATTTAAGTACGCCAGTTGTTATATTATAGCCAGTTGCAAAATTTACTAATGTTAATAATAGTTATTTTTTATACAAGACGATAAAATGGTATTTTATCGTCGACTGAAAAGATAATTTCGGGAGACGATAATGCAATTTTATCGTCCGTCGTGTATAAAATAATATTTTTTTTCAATAGCGAGTTACGTTTTAAAAAATATTCAGAAATTATTATATTAAGGAATTTATTATATAATCAATGTGTACTCCCTGTACTTACTTACGGATCCCAGACCTGGACACTGACAAAATCAAGTATGGATAAGGTAACAAAATCTCAAAGATCTATGGAAAGACAAATGCTACATATAATGCTGACAGATAGAAAAAGGAATGAGTGGATCAGAGGAGAAACTAAAGTAAGGGATGTTTGTAAAGTGAAGTAGCAAAATTGAAATGGAAGTTTGCCGGTCATAATGTCAGATGATCGATGGAACAAATGCATCGTAAACTGGAGGCCCTGGGGCGCTATTCTGTAAAATCGTCGGTATCGGTAAGTTACGACAGCTATCGGTACGTATTTGTATATAGTAAACATGTGTTGATTGTTGTTGTCATAGTTACCGATCGGCCCTATGACAGATATCGCAAATGTAAAATACCGACGAAAATCGGTATCTCTACCGTGCCCTTGTCAACCTCACGGTAGAGATACCGAGAGTCGTCGGTACAAATTTGCGATATCTGTCATAGGGCCGATCGGTAACAATGACAACAACAATCAACACATATTTACTATATACAAATACGTACCGATAGCTGTCGGTAACTTACCGATACCGACGATTGTACAGAATAGCGCCCCTGGGAGAATAGAAGAAGTAGAGGAAGACCCCAGATGAGATGGGTGGACGATCTGAGGAAACATGCAGGCACAAGATGGATGAGCACGGCGACAGAGAGGGAAGAGTGGAAGAGATTGGGGGAGGCCTATATCCAACGATGGACCGAAGAGGCTGAATAGATAGATAGATAGATAGATAGCAAAATATTGTGTTGGGTTGGCGTTGGTTTCTATGTAATTTGACAAATAAATGAAGTTGTCTCTTTAGTTGTGAGTTTTGAGTCAATATTTTTTAATTCTCTTTCGTGTCGATTGCTGCTTGAATTCGAGCCAGAAATGGCTTAAAACGAAATAAGTAAATTACCAACAGGTATTCAGGCTGAGGCGACAAACCCCATATCCAAACTACTTTCATTTAAATCCCGAATAACTTATGAAAAGGAATACAAAAATTTTCATAAATGGAAACAATTAAAAAACGTGCGAGAAGCGAGAAGAAATAAAGTTTTTAACCTATCCTCGTAGTTAAAGTATCATTTAATCTACCCTTGTGGTTAAAGTACTATTTTATCAGCTATTTTTGATAGATATAAGGCAATTTTAACAGTTGCTATGGAAAAAAGAATTTAATTGAATATTTTTGTTTTATTTAACTGCAAGGTGCACTGTTATTTTACTTAACTGCAATTGTCCACAACAGGGGCGCCGACTGCGTGGGTGCTCGGGTGCTCAAGCATCCACGAGAGAAAATTAGTGGGTGCGGAGCACCCACGAGCACCCACAACCTAGCTAATCAGTTTAGTAAC